TAATGATAGAAAAACCTTGTAGATTTCTTTTATTATTTATTTATTTATTATTTATTTTTTTCTTTTTGAGGCAGGGTCTCGCTATGCAGTTCAGGCTGGCCTGGAGCTCACTTTGTAGTCCAGGCTGGCCTTGAACTTGCAACGATCCTCCTGCCTCAGCCTCCCAAGTGCTGGGATTACGGGGTGTGCACCATCACGCCTGGCTCCTAAATTTCTTTTAAAATGTAAAACTATGGACAAAAGCTTTTTAGATAAGATAGTTTGAAAACCGAATACCAAAGACATGGTCAAGCCTCAGTATTTTACTCTCTCTGTCTCAGGAAATAGACGTGTATCTTAATATATGAAAAAGTCCACGACTTCATTAGCACACCCTCATAGTGTTTAGGTGTCTGTTAAACTAGCAGAAGTTATCCTGAAAACTCTATCCAAAGGTGATGGCGGAATAAATGCAGCCAGGTGTTATTTACAGGTCTGTAAAATGTTTATCTTTTCTTAGTTTCATATTTGCAAGTATGTGATAGATTTTAAAAACTTTTTGGAGATAGGGCCTCACATTGGAGTTCAGGCTGGCCTGGACTTACTGTGTATTCCAGGTTGGCTTCAAGCTTGGAGTGGTCCTCCCGCCTCAGCCTCCTGAGTGCTGGCATTACAGACATGCATCACCACGCCTGGCAAAAACTGTTTTGAAAAAGACAAAACAAAAATTAACCAAAAACTGTTAAAATCCTTTAACGCAAAATTGTCAATTTGGGATATATATTTTCTTTTCTTTTTTTTTTTTTGTTTTTTTGTCTTTTTGAGACAGGGTCTCGCTATGCAGTTTAGGCTGGCCTTGAGTTCACTTTGTAGCCCAGGCTGGTCTTGAACTCACAGCGATCCTCCTGCCTCAGCCTCCTGAGTGCTGGGATTACAGGCATGTGCTACCAGGCCTGGCTAAGCCTAGGTTTAGTCCCCAGCCTCACAAAACAAAAGCAAACCAAAACCATCTCTCAAATAATGGATGAGGTTTTTTTTTTTGTTTTTTTTTTTTTGGATATAGGGTCTCTTTTTTTTTTTTTTTTGGTCTTTTTGAGACAGGGTCTCGCTGTGCAATTCAGGCTGGCCTTGAGTTCACTTTGTAACCCAGGCTGGCTTCAAACTCGAAATGATCATCCTGCATCAGCCTCCCAAGCGCTGGGATTACGGCGTGTGCCACCAGGCCCGGCCCTTGAGATAGGGACTTACCATACAGTTCAGGCTGGCCTTAAACTCACTGTGTAGCTCAGGTTGGCCTTGAACTTGCAACAGTCCTGGCTCAGCCTACCCAGTGCTGGGATTACAAGTAACATGTGCCACCTGGATTCCCTGGATTTTAGCTTTGTGATCTTGGACAAATTACCTGAGCTCTCTGTGCTTCAGTGTCCCCATCTGTGAGGTTGATAACGCAGTCATCCTGTCTGAGGGTTGTTAGGAGAATTAAAATCTCCCTGGTAATGAATTATCAGGAATGGGAGTTTACATTGCTATCTGCTAAATGCATAAAATAGGAATATAGTCATTCCTGTTTACAGGGGGATTGAAATGGATAAAAACAGGACAGCCTAATGTAAAAAAGAAAGAATTGATAGGATCCCAATATAGAGATATTTAAAAACAGGAATTACTGTTACATCGTAGGCACTTTAAAGGGGGAAACACAGTTTAAGAAGGAACCTTGACGTAGTCAGCTTTCTTTTGCGAGCTGTGTACTAGCGGCCTTTGTTTTGACTTGTGGCAGGGTGCTGACACCTTTCAGGCGAAAATCAATATCGAGGTACAGTGGGCTTCTGAACTGGCCATTGCTGCAGTTGAGAAAAACGGCGGTGTGGTCACCACAGCCTTCTATGACCCGAGAAGTCTGGGTAAGCTTGTTCTTGGGTAGTTCCCTTGTTTCTGTCGTTCTCCTCTTTTAGCTGCTGGTTTTTAACTACTCAGGGAATAGCAGACTTAGAGGTGTGTATCGCTCTTGGGGATGGTCTCATTTTAGTGCATTTAAAAAGTAAGTAAATTTATAACATAGTCCTCATGTATAGAACCAATATTCGTATTTCTTACTTTGTTTGTATTTTTTCCCAGAAATTCTTTGCAAACCTGTCCCGTTCTTCCTGCGTGGGCAGCCCATTCCGAAGCGAATGCTTCCCCCTGAGGAGCTGGTGCCGTACTACACGGACGCGAAGAACCGCGGTTACCTGGCGGACCCGGCCAAGTTTCCTGAGGCGAGGCTTGAGCTTGCCAGGAAGTACGGCTACGTTCTGCCCGACATCACCAAAGACGAGCTCTTCAAAATGCTCAGCGCTCGGAAGGATCCAAGGCAGATTTTCTTCGGCCTTGCTCCTGGCTGGGTGGTAAATATGGCAGACAAGAAAATTCTAAAGCCTGTAGACGAGGAGCTCCTCAAATACTACAGCTCGTGAACTCCCTCCGGGGAAAGTTGGGAGGGGGTTGTGAAGAGCACCGGAGAAGGGCCTGGACCCTGGATTTGCCAGATGTGTGCTGCTCGTCCAGGGTTGGTGCTGGCTGTCAGTATAGTCACATCCCTTTAATACGTATATTCATCTAAAGCGAAAATAAAAGTGCAGCCAGTGAGGACTGCGTAGAGGAGCCAAGCCTGTGTGCATTTTGTCGGAGATTCACACTTGCTTGTCTCTCGAGGGGCGACTGTAACTACTTTAAAATACTTCTCCCATCTGTGTGTGGTTGTGAACACCTGTAATCCCAGCACTCGGGAGGCTGAGGCAGGAGGATCGTTGAGTTCGAGACCAGCCTGGGCTACACAGTGAGCTCAAGGCCAGCCTGAACTGCACAGCGAGACCCTGTCTCAAAAAGACCAAAAACAAAAAAAATTCTCCGCTGTCTGGGTTACTTTTCTCTTGTTGCTGGGACAAAATACCTGACGCCCAAAATGAAGGAAGGAAAGGTTTATTTTGCTTACAGTTCGTGGAGGTTTCAGTCCATACTTGGCAGGTTATAAGGCAGAGTGGCACATGGCAGAGAGCTATATCTCAGGGTGGCAGAACACAGCAAAAGCAACAAGCACACACCAGGGCGGAATGGGGCAGGAATGGCCTCAAGCACTCTTTTCCTCTCCCTTACATATGCAAACTATCCACCCCAGGGTGGGTGCAGCTCTCACACCCATAATCAAACTCTAAAAGCCTGCCCCACGGCCGCATGAGGCTTTGGGGGGACACACAGACACAAACCATAACATCCCCCACCTTTTCATGATCTTTTCCTCCAGCCTTTTCTTGTTGCGAGCCAGAAAGAATGTGAAAGTGAAGTGGGACTGATTGGTAGGCCTGTGCGCTGACATTAGAGCCAGTGGTGGAAAGATAGTGGAGCCGGGCGCGGTGGCGCACACCTGTAACCCCAGCACTGGGGAGGCTGAGGCCGAGGATTGCTGCGGTTCGCCCTCAGGCCGGCGTGGGCTATGTAGTGAGCTCAAGGCCAGCATGAATATTGAAACCTTATCTCTAAAAAACAGAGAAAGGTGGTGGCTTCTTTTAATTGGGAACCTCAGGGAAGCACTGCTATCCTTGGTCAGGATGGAGACCCCTCAGGGCAAGACGGAGAGGATCCGGAATGTGAGTTTAAACCTGGGGAACAGCTTCTAAATTGTGTGGGTAAACGTGTGTGAGTGTGGGTGTTAGTTTTGTTTGGTTTTGTTTATGGTGCTGGTGGCAGAACCCAGGACCTTCACACTGAGCTACAGATCGAGTCCTTTTTAATTTTGAGACAGTGTCTCACTCAGTTGTGCTGGCTGGGTTTGACCTTGCCATCCTCCTGCCTCAGCCTCCTGATGTGCTGGGATTGTAGGCTTGCACCACCATGTCCAGTCCACATTTTCTAGCAACACTGGAGATTAGAAAAAGAAAACTTCCAAGTGAATTTGTTTTCTTAGTACTCTTCCCAAAGTAGACCACAGTCAAGCCACTGGCATTTTTGTTCTTAAAGAAGGTAAGGGCTCTGACTGATACAGTTTCACTTGTCCCAGACGTTGGAGACTTGTATTTCATTCATTTCAAATAATGGAAAAGCTTGTTCAATGATTATGTAAGCCCTAAAATGATTTAGTAATGGTAAACGTAAATACTTTTTGTGTGAGGTGAGGCCTTGCTATGTTGAGTCTGGCCTTGAACTCCGGCGCTCAGACCACCCTTCCTCGGCTTCCTGAGCCTCTGAGGCCCGTGCACAGCGCGTGCCTGGCTCCACCTCGGTCAGTGTGAAAGGTTCAGATGTTAATGGGGTTATTTCACTTTTCAGTGGTGTATTATACGTAAATCTTGTGAAAGCTTTAATTTACCTTGTGTGATTAAAAATTGATCCTTGAATGATTCATGATAACTCTCCCAGAGAAAAATAAAATTCCTGGCTGATTCTTAAAGTAAAAATGTTTAAAAACCTAAACCATGCATTGTTTTGTCTCATTTAACTTTTTTAGCTCATATATTGCTAACCTGGAATTCAGTTTATGAATTTATTTACCAAACTGATGTAGTCTGGCTTGGAATTAAACCACTCAGAACCTAGGACTGCCAAGCATGGCGGCGCACGCCTGTAATCCCAGCGCTTGGGAGGCTGGAGCAAGAGAATCCCTATGGGTAATTGGAGGGCAGCCTGAACTGCGTAGTGAGACTGACTAAAACACCACAAGCCCTAGCGTTCAGAATCGTCTTTTTGAGCACCCTCTATGCTGGCATGAAATCCTGGAATTCTGGAGGCTAAGGGGAAGTTTGAAGACATGCATTGGTGTGCTAGGATTACTTTTGGCTGCATTGGGTAGGAACCCCAGTGCTCAAACGGGGTGAGGTTTGCTTTCTCACAAGTGCTGACCTCCAAGAGCTTGCTGATTCTGCTGCACAAAGCCCGGGAGTCCAAGGCTTTCCGTGGTGAACGCCCCCATCCAAGTGTGAGACCCTCATTTTAAAGATCCAACTGGGGGTTGGCGGGAATAAGCTCTTCTGAAGGAAGGTTCTAGAAGCTGCCACACAGGTGTGTGTGCAGTCTGCTGGCTATACTTTGGATCCTGTCTTTTCTTCATCATGTGAATTGACTTACGTAAAAGTCACAATACCTGCCAGAAAAGGACATCCAGATGCTGGCCCCCAGAGCCCTATCAGATCCTTTCAGTTGAGCTGAAAATGACAGGAGCGACCCAGAAGAAGACCCTTGCTCAGTGCTGGGCTTGCTGCCCACTCTCGCTGTACCCTTTTCTCTCCCATAGAAACCCGTCCTGGCCCTCAGCCCCAGGAGACAGGTCTGAGCAACAGAGAAGCCGCCGGTTGTCAGGGCCGGCTGTGGGTACGTCAGTTTCTTTCCTTCAATTTCTGCCTCCTGAGTCTGTTAAGCAGCAAGTAGTGTGGATCTTGTATCGGTCAGAAGCAGATTTAATGCAAGATATACAAATAAGAATTTACGGGGCTGGGATATAGCTGCACAGTGCCTGCCTGGCAAGTGCGAGGTCATGAGTTTGATTCCCAGTACCTGAAAGAGAAAAACATCAAAAGAGTTTACAGGATGGGCTTACAGTGGCCAGCCACGGTCAGGTGTGGACCCCAGGGACCCGGTTGAAGGCCGGGAGCTCACTGGATGCCCCATGTGAGTCCCTAGGAGGCCGAAGGGTCAGTGACGGAAGCTGAAGGGTCACTGGGGGTTCACGGGTCTGCACTGAAGTCAGGAGGTGACATCCAAGGTGACGGGAAGGCTGCAGCTCCTCCAAAGAAACGGTGAGCCTCCATTTCCCTTCCACACCGTTCAGGTGGCGAGCCCACAGGTCACGTCGCTCACACCAGTACATCGCGTCTCCACTAAATTCTCCGGCCACACCCAGAGGGATGCTGACCCAGTGGAGTTGGGCGTTTCTTACTCCAGCTGATACAACCCCTTCTCTGTCACGGACCTTACGGTCCACTAACGCTGCAGGCAGCAGAGTCCACGTCCTCTTACAGCGGCTGGTCCCTTAGCCTGCCACCCACAGGTGATAAAACTTTCTTAATCAAAAGGCGGTACATATACTATCCTGAGCTTACCTGTTACAGCAAATGAACTTAGTTCATGTGGGCCCTGGGGGTTGAATCTAGGGCCTTGTGAATGCTGAGTCTGAGTTACACCCCTCCCCACTACATCAAATACATTTACAGGTACTGTGCTTTTCTGAGTACTTCTATTAGGCTACAAACTGGGTTCCTTTCTTTTTAAGCTGTAGCGTGGAACACGGTAGACAAGTTACACTTCCTGAACTGTCTGAAATACAGTGGCGATCTGTAAAACGCAAGGGTTGTATAAAATGAACCCTGTGGTCTCCGTTGTACCTTTTCTTCCTTTGCAGTTCTGGGGATGGGAGGGCCTCATACCGGCTGGGTGAAGGCGCTGCCGCTGAGCTGTATCATCAGCTGGAGTAAGAAACGCCCAACTTTTCCCAGAAAAGTTCTTGGGAAATGTGGGAGGAAGTTAGTCACCTGGAGGTGGACTGCACAGGCGTGGCCTCCCAGTCTCAGGACGCACTGGAGGCCCTGGGTTTCCTCTCCCCCTGCATTAAACGACCCAGACACTAGGCACAGAAGAAAAACACACCAGTCAAACGCCAAGCTCCCTTGACTGCAGGTTGATAGGTGGCCTGCAGGTAAAAGAAACTGGGACGGAATGGTGAAGGGAAGAACGGACACAGGAAACAGATGTCTGCTGGTATGCAGTGCCCTCCGGTCCTGTTCAGGGACCTTGGGCTTAGTCACAGACAGCTGTCCTGATCTTAACATTGCAGTCGCATGGATCATTCTTAGCCAAAAGAGACGCCGTCCCAGAACCCGCCCTTTCTGTTAAGCAGAGGTAACACTTAAACAGCTCTGTGGTGGGGAGACTGGAGTTTATGCAACAGTGCTGGTGCCAAGGTACTGGTTTACTGTGACTCTAGCGATTTACAAGGATAATGGGGAAGAAAATGGACTGGCAGGTGGTAGCTTTATCTTAAGAGTTCACATTTCTTGGAAATAGACAAAAGCAAAAATGCTTTGGTCTAGGTCTCGGTCCTTCACCTGGGATGTGGATTCAGCTGTTCTCAGTGCACGTGGCTTTGGTGTCTGTTGTGGTTTGTGTCTGCCTGTCCCCCACCAAGCCTCACGCAGTCCTGGGGCGGGCGTCTAGAGTTTGTGATTGACTCACGGTCCAATGCTGGGATTATGGGTGTGAGCGCTGCACCCACCCTGGGGCAGGCCACCTGCATGCAATGCAATTTGCGGACCCTCCCCCCCTTTTTTTCTCTTGCTGCTTTTGCTGTTTTCTTTGGCCATGCACTGCTGCCCTCTGCCATGTGCCACCCTGCCTCGGAGCCAGCCGAGTATGGACTGAAACCTCCACAAACCGTAAGCTAAATAAACCTTTCCTAATTCTGGGTGTTGGGTATTTTGTCTCAGCAGTGACAGAAAAGTAACCAAGACAGTGTCTAAGACAAAAGAAACCTTGAGTTAGTATGCATTTTAAAAGATTTTTAAATAAATAATTTATTTAAAATTATTTATAATTGCTATGCGTTTCCTATTTATCAAGGTCCTGGATTTCCTTTCTTCGGTCATAATCCTGCATCACTGACTATTCTCTGGAAAATGAGTGA